GGATTTGTTGAAAGTGCAGGTGTCTGGGTCTCCTAATGACCTACAGAATAGGATCTTTTGGCTTAGAGCCTGGACATCTGCATTTTTACCAAGCTACCCGGGTGAATTTTATGAAGTGAACTTTGAAAGAACACTGCCCCAGTGTTCTGATCAGTGATTGGATGCGTGAGAGGGCACCCAGTGTTCCCAAGAAGAGGAGTCTCATCAGCTTCTTAGTGTAGAAGGACAAGTGCACGCGAGACTGAAGAGGGGTATTTGCGATTCTCTCTAGCTGAATTAACTTTGACCTATTCTAGACAGCAATAAAATGGCTCCAATTATGGTGCCATGTTTGATCAAATTATTTTATTTATTTTTAATGGATAATTCATGTAATATGACACAAAATGTAGAATATATTTAAAAAGTTATACAGTGAAAATCAGTCTTCTCCCACCTCTAGCCCTCAGTCCTCCAATCCCCGCCAACTCTAGAGGTAGCCACGATTTTTGTGTGTGTTTTTAATAAAGACTTTGTAATTTTGGAAAGTGATCTGCTTCAGCGGTCAGTTTATGCAGGATGGGAATCTCTTTGTTTTAAAAGAAAACAATTTTGAAAGAATTACAGATTCACAAAATTTGCAAGAATTGTACGGAGCAGTTCTGTATACCTCTTACACCCAGTTTTTCCCAATGACTAACTATATCATATTGATATAACTGTATATATAACTATATAACTGAGCAGTGATTGGATGCATGAGAGCGCACCTAGTATTCCCAGAAAGAAGATATATAACTGCAGATGTAACGATAGTGCAATAGCAAAGAAGCTGATGACACTCCTATATTATATATGTAGTTGAATAACTATAGTGCAATAGCAAAAGCAGAAAATTGACATTGATACTGTGTGTATATAGTTCCATGCTATTTTATCACATGTAGATATTACATGTAGATATGCAAACACTGTCATTCAAGATACTTTAGAACTATCTAATCACCATTGTATATACATAACTTAACACAGTCTACTGGTGTTAAGATTTTACCAGTCCACATGAAATAAAGAAACGTTACCTTATTTAAGTCCCTAATTTACCCTCCCCCATATATAGTATAATTGTCTTAAATATCTCTTCCATATATTTTCAGACCACAGCAGACAATGTTACGATTTTTGGTTGCCAACCACAACTTAGAAAACTCAAGAGGAAAGGAAAGTCTTTTGTATTTACTCAGATTTTAACACTGTTCTTTTGTTTTTCTTGTTCCAAGATTCCTTCTTTTGTCATTTCTTTACTTAGAACAATTTCTGTAGTCATCCTTTTGAGGTAAGTCTGCTGGAAAAAAATTCTATTAGTTTTCTTATCTGAGAATGTCTTGATTTCTTCTTCGTTTCTGAAGGATATTTTTGTTGGATATAGGATTCAGGAAGGACCATTCTTTTCTTCCGGCACTTGAAAAGTTGTGATACTTTCTTCAGATCTTCTTGATTTCTGATGAGAACTCTATCATTTGAATTGTTTTTCCCTGGTAAGTGTCATTTTTCTCTTGCTACTTTTAAGAATTTTCATTTGTCTTTAGTTTTTAGAAGTTTGATTATAATGCATCTGGGCATTAGATGATTATGAATTTCTATGAGTTTGTCCTATTTGGGGTTTGCTCAGCATCTTGAATCTGTAGGTTTGTGTCTTTTGCCAACTTTTGGACATTTCTTTCCTTTTTTCTTTTTCTTTTTTTTTTTTTGAGACAGAGTTTCGCTCTTCTTGCCCAGGCTGGAGTGCAGTGGCACGATCTCGGCTCACTGCAACCTCTGCTTCCTGGGTTCAAGTGATTCTCCTTCCTCAGCCTCCCAAGCAGCTGGGATTACAGGTGTGCACCACCATGCCCAGCTAATTTTTTGTATTTTTAGTAGAGATGGGGTCTCACCATGTTGGTCAGACTGGTGTTGAACTCCTGACTTCAGGTGATCTGCCTGCCTCAGCCTCCCAAAGTGCTGGGACCACAGGCATGAGCCACTGTTCCCAGCCAGCCCTTATTTCTTTACGTTCTTGTTTAGCCCTACATTTTCTCTTTTCCTTCTAAGGTTCCCATGACATAAATTTAGATCTGTTGTAATCTCACCGTGGGTCTTTGAGGTTTATTTTTTGTTAGTCTACTTTTTCTCTGTTGGTCAGATTGAGCATTTTCTATTATATCATCTTTAAGATCACTGATTCTTTTCTCTGTCCTTGTCATTCTACAGTTGAGGCTCACCCAGTGATTTTTAAATTTTGTTTATTGTATTTTTCATTTATAAAATTTCCATTTGGTTCTTTTTTATGTCTTGAGTTTCTTTCCTGAGGTTTCTATATCTTTGCTGAAACATTTGATTTCCTTGCTGACTTACTGTTTTTTCATTTGTTTCAAGCATGTTCATAATCACTCGTTAGTATGGCTGCTTTTAAATCCTTGTCAGACAATTCCAGCATCTCTGTCATCTTGGTGTTGGTATCTGTTTTAATTTTTTTTTTTTTTTTTTTTTTTTGAGACAGGGTCTCACTCTGTCACCCAGGCTAGAGTGCAATGACACAATCATGGCTCACTGCAGCTTCAACCTCCTGGGCTCACGTGATCCTCCCACCTTTTCATCCTGGGTAGCTGGGGCTGCAGGTATGTGCCACCTTGCCCGCCTGATTTTTGTATTTTTTGTAGAGATGGGGTTTTACCAGGTTGCCCAAGCTGGTCTCAAACTCCTGGGATCAAGCGATCCTCCTGCTTCAGCCTCCCAAAGTGTTGTGATTGCAGGCATGAGCCAACATGCCCAGCTGGTGTTGGTGTCTGTTGATAGCCTCTTCCAAGTTGAGATTTTCCTGTTTGTTGATATGACAAGTGATTTCCTATTGCACTTGGCCATTCTGAATATAATTTTATGAGACTCTGGATCCTATGTAAATCTGTTTTAGCAGGCCTTTCGTACACTGTTCTGGTGGGGAACAGGGGATGTCCTCTCATCGCTGCCAGGTGGGAGTGGAAGCCAAGGTTCCATGCTTGGCCTCCACTGACACCTGGTGGGGAGAGCTGCCTCATTACTGATGGGCGATGGAGGGAGTTCAGGTTCCCCATTAGGCCTCTGCTGATACCACACTGGCTGAAAAGGGAGGGGCCACCGTTCCTTTACTGATATCACGTGGGGACAATGACAAAAATGCTGGCTCCCCAAGAGACCCTCACTGACACCACCCTGGAGGGGAGGGTGGGGGTGCAGGGGCCCATCTGCACAGCTGGGGTGAGGTTGGAAGTCTAGGCTCCCCACGAGGCCTCTGTGGATGGGGTAGGCATGGCACTGTGAGGTTTTCAGTGGCATTTGGCTGGTGTAGGGCAGTTGTTGTCTAAACATTTTCTGTGTTACTGGGGTTCCCATTTCCTGTTTCTTTGGTTAGAGAAAGCAGCTTTTTCTTGGGGCTTTTATTGTCTCTGCCCATTAGCATTTCCAAATTGTTGACTGCTCCAGCATCATTTCCTAATATAGCTAGGATATCTGGAGATCTCTAGTCAGCCTGCCTCTTCTCTCTACCTTTCAGTCTTCTTAGGTTTGTTTTACATATCATGTGTAGTTTTTACTTGCCTTAGTGGGAAGGAATAGAGAAGATAAATGTATGTATTTCATCTTGTCCTAGAAGGAGAAGGGATCATTTTTTTTTTTTTTTTTTCCTGAGATGGAGTTTTGTTCTTGTTGCCCAGGCTGGAGTGCAATGGCACGATCTCAACTCACTGCAACCTCCGCCTCCTGGGTTCAAGCGATTTTCCTGCCTCTGCCTCCCGAGTCGCTGGGATGACAGGCGCCTGCCACCATGCCCAGCTAATTTTGTTATTTTTAGTAGAGACGGGGTTTTGCCATGTTGGCCAGGCTGGTCTTGAACTCCTGACCTCAGGTGATCCACCCGCCTCAGCCTCCCAAAGTGTTGGGATTACAGGAATGAGCCACCGTGCCTGGCTGGATCATGCGTTTTCTATGTTTTGAGTCTAATTTGCAAGTGGGAGGCCGGGAGACATTTTCTATCCCTGCAAAACAGAAGAAGTGATTCCTTTTCATTTTGTTCATTTTCATCCTATCTGTTTTTCCTAAAGCTGCATTTATTTCCTTTAATCCACGTCTGCCTCAGCACATGTCACCATGTGCTGTGTTTGGGACCTAGTAAATAGTCCAAAGAGCCAGGCTGGGGTGGAAGCTGTGATTTTGACGGGATTGACAGTAGACTGAGAACTTAAAACTTTTAGCCTTGGTGAACAATTTTAAGTGTTTTTTCTACAATGATGATCATTGGTGATTCATCCAAAACATCTTATAAGTGTGGGGTGTGGAGGCAAAGGAGTTACTGGAAGCTGGAGCAGGGTAGAAGCCCAGTGTATGAAGTTGTGCAGACGACAAGCAAGGACAGATACCAGTGAATCAGGGTCATCCCTTGAGGCTCAACCCCTGGGCACTGCCTCCAGCTCCTCTCCACCTGCTTCTAGGCAGGACCTCCTGAGGTCCCAGGAACTAGCAAGAAAGTCTCTCCTTAAGTTTGTGGGACAAGCATTTGTTGCACACCTACTGTGTCCAAAACCCTGTAGAGTGAGGTAAAAAGACATCTGAGATCCCGGCTCTCCAAAAAAGCGAGGATCTGAGTGTACGGAGACTTCTCGCTTTTTGATTTCTCTTTCATCCTATTTATCCCCTTCTTACACCCACAGGACCAGACCTCACATGCCCTATCAGAGTCTCCCAGGTGGTTTTTCCAGGGACACAGAACATTAAACATCAAACAAACATAGATATAGAGAGAGAAAAGCCTCTCAGCCAGGCAGCCTGGGCTAGCTGCAGGAGCAAGCATTCTTCTGACTTCTGAGACAGTACAAGGTGTGTCCAGGTGACTTACCTGCCGCTGGGCAGCTGCCATGCACGCTCCTCACGCCTGACGCTGCTCAGGCAGAAGCCAGGCATCTGTAATAGTGTTCTTGGCCGCAGAACATCTGGCCTAGTGGGCAGGGTGTCATCTATGAAGTTGGGTGGAGACAAAGCTGTTGGGGAAACCAGTCCCACACCACCTGGCAGGTACCCCGAGTCCGGCGGAGACAAAGGAGTTAGAAAGAGACAGAATAAGTGTTTAAAAGGCAGGTTCAGGGGACCAGAGCATTGGAGGCTTGCTCCCGTTCCAGAGCTCTCGGGCTCCACCCAATTTATTGGTTTACAAGCTCTTTGTTCTTAGGGCAGATGGGAAGGGGAGGACGGGATAAGGAAAAGGATTAATCAGTAAAAGAGAATCATGAGTCATTCAATAAGGTGTACAGCAGTGGCGGTTGCTGTGAATTTCCTTGAGCAAAGGCGTGTGTCTAAACTACTTAAGATCTTCAACTTATCGGGACTGAAATGGGTGGGAGCAGGTTTCAGGAGGAGCCACGATGTTTGATTATATTCCACTGCTTCAAGGGAGTGTGATCTCCCTGAGCAACCTGTGGAATGCTGAGCGGTTATGGTCTCGGGGCATAAATACATGAAGGCAATAAGGAGACTTTTCTCCTCAGAGGCCGCCCATGGCTTCCCATAGGTGTCTACACAGGGGAGACCAACTCAGCTGGCACCCCAGAACCTCTCTTTCCCACAAAAGCTGGGCTGGTTCTGATTCTTAGCCTGTTCTGGCAGTGACGCACTCAACCCCATAGGGAGTGGACGAGCCCCAGGAAGAAGATGACGTTTTGGAGAAAACGCTCCAAAGCCCTCTGCATTGGGCTGACTCTGGCCATTACTGTCAATCTCCTTCTGGTATTTTTTAGCAAAGAGACTTTACGAAACCCATTTATGGGTGGTCTCCACAAGGAGCTTCCTTTACATCTGAACGAGCGCGACGGGGCAGTGATAAGAAGACTCTCCCAGTTGGAGACGGAACTGAAGCATCTGAGTAAGTTTACAACGCTAACCTGGAAGGCGTGTGTGTGCGTGTGTGTGCATGCGTGTGCGTGTGTGTGCACGCGTGTGCGTGTGTGTGTGTTTATGGGCACTTAGGAAAAAGGGATGTGGAGGGGAAAATGGGCGAGAGGTCACATTTTCATCTCAGTCGCTCATTGAAGCATCTGACACTGAATTCCGTGCCTTCAGATGGGAGATGGGGATTGAGAGCGAAGTGAGTAGACGTGGAAATTAGAGCAAGCAGTATGGGGGAGGTGAGCACGTGTGTGGGCTTGTGCACATACATTGTCATTATATCTACATATATGCAGGCAACGAGACAGAATAAGAATCCCAAGGGCCTTAGGGATGTCTAGCGTAGCCCTGTCCTTAGGCCTATGTGTGGTAGGGGCTGTGCAAGAGAGGTGGCAATCTCTAGGGCAAAGGCCTCGCTTCCATTTTGCTGTGTGCTTCTATCATGAACTAATGAGGGCTTTGTTAGAGGACCTAAGATCGAATCCTGATGTGCCACTGTGGTTGTGTGACTTTGAGCAAGTGCTTCTCTCTCTCAGCCTCAGGTTCCTGGTCTGTAAATGGAGATGATGATAATAATGATAGTTTTCCACCTGACCTAACAGGGTTGTGAAGTGGATGCAGAAGGTGATCTATAAACTGCTCTGTGCCAAATTTTAACCTCCTCATTTAAAGTTAAGGGTAAGATTTCAACACATCCTGGGGTTTGTTTGTGATTCCGGCTCACCATGGAGCTCTAATGCCTCTGAATTTTATGAGCCTGCACATCCAACTTCAGCAAGGGAAGCAGCCATTTCCGCCTGCTCCCCAGGTAACAGGATCAAATGCTGGAATCCCCTAGGGAGGTGTTTTATGTGTGAGCGGGGATGTGACTGCCCCGGTGTGTGCACATTGGGCTGAAGTTGGGGAAAGTGTCTTTTAAAACGAGAACTGAGCATTGTCAGGGTTCAGGGTGAGGCTGGGAGACGGGTGGAAGGAAAGGCAAGAAGAGAAAAAGGAAGGGAGAGAAGCAATCAGGGAAAGACCGAAGAGAGTGAGAAGGGAGATGACAGAGGAGAAAAGAGCTGGGACAGGAAAGGAGCAGAGAAGTGAGGGAGTCCGGGGAGAGAGGGAAAGAGTTTGTATGGAGACAAGAAGAAAAAAAGGGAAAGTGTGATGGGACAGAAGGAGAGAATAAAAGGAGAGAAGAGGAGGCCTAAGGCACCCATAGCACTTTTTACATCCTCCTTCATAAGACTCATCATATTTTATTGTGGTACAGCTTTATGGAAAGCAAGTTTCATAAGGGCTGTTTCCATGAACGTCTCATTCACTACTCGTTTCTATTCATACATAGAAGTTACATAGATGAATAAATGAGTGGGTGCATCTAGGAAAGAGAGAGAAAAAGACAGGCAGACAGGGATGAAGGGAAGAGTGATACAGGGTAAGAGAGTGGATGAAACAGCGGGAAGACTGTCAGCTCCACAAGCCCTGGCTTACCTGGGTGGGTCGGACATTGCCCATGCAAATATGCTTGGTGAAGCTTCCCCAGGAGGATGTCTGTGTACCTAGGGTGGTGACCCCAGCACCACCCTCAGTACTTGCCAGAGCACCCAGACACACCAGGACTCTCTCACCCGTTCCCAAGGCTCATCACTGGCTCAGCCTCCTCAAGCCATAAAATGGCAGGAGTTCTACCCAAAGCCTCGCTATTCTTTCCATCAGCTAGGACACAGTGTGCCATGAGGAGCCAGCCAGAGCCGTCTGGTTTATTCCTCTTTCCTTCTTTGCAAAGACCTTTCTTGTTATTCTTGGTGCTCCCACGTTTTATTCGCTCTGAAATGATGTGATGTCAGAGACTCACATCAGGACTCATCACACCAAACAAACAGATATATGGAGAGAAAAGCCTCTCAGCCAGGCAGCCTGGGCTAGCTGCAGGAGCAAGCATTCTTCTGACTTCTGAGACAGTACAAGGTGTGTCCAGCTGACTTACCTGCCGCTGGGCAGCTGCCATGCACACTCCTCACACCTGACGCTGCTCAGGCAGAAGCCAGGCAGCCGAAATAGTGTTCTTGGCTGGAGAACAACTGACCTAGCAGGCAGGGTGTCATCTATGAAGTTGAATGGAGACAAATATGTTGGGGAAACCAGTCCCACACCACCCGGCGGGTACCCCGAGTCTGGCAGAGACAAAGGAGTTAGAAAGAGACAGAATAAGCATTTAAAAGGCGGGTCCAGGGGACTGGAGTGCCGGATGCTTGCATACCTGAGATGAACCTCAAAAATTCTTCTGGGCCCTGTTTCTAGATCTCCAGTGCTCTTTTTTTCCACAGGGCTTCCTGTAACTAAAAGCCAGTTTAATTACCCTTCATCCTGTTTGCTCATTGCCTCCAGGATTCTAGGAAGATTTAAAAAAATCATGAGTCAATAAGGATACTTAGTTGAATCATGTAAGCTACCAATAGCAAAAGCAAGCAATAATAATTATATCCCTATTGAGGGAGGGATCAATGACTCTAAGCCAGTTTTCTGGAACCTCCCTCAGGGTTCATAAAAACTCCACCAGGGGGATGTCAATGGGTGTGTCCCTTTGGGAGCTTAGAAGGTTTCAGTATAAGTTATGGGGGTGACCTAGTGACCCTGTATTCATGCTATCAGATTATGCATTTCCTCAAATTGACTTTAGGATGGCCAGGTCCAAACCAGCTCCCACTGACAGCCATGAGTGAAAGAGAAAATCAGATATCCCCCAAGGAAGAACGCAGAGGACCTTAGAGGTAGGAAGGACCCAGTACCACCCTGGGACCATGCTTAGGACAGAAAAGTATGAATAACCATACTGTTCCATCTGGGACACTGTAAACAGCATGCTCCCACTTCTTGTTTCTACCTGAGCAAGTATGCATGGTGTTCACATGAGCCTCCTTTGAGAGACCTACCATTTACTTTTTGCCCAAGTTTTTTCGACTATCCTCTTTTTGTCTTAACCATGTCAAGAGTTGATTCTCTTTCTCCTTTTCCTTCTTTTTGGGCCAGTCTTACATCACTTTACAAACATGTTCTCCTCCCAGTCATAGGACTTCCCTGCTTCCCTGCTTCCCTCTCGGGGGCTGTATATGGATCTGAAATCCAGCACACGTTCTGCTTGCCAAGCCATGTGCTGTGGCGTGAGATTCATCTACCTGGAGAAAAGTCACACAATGGGGCTGTCCCCTCACCAAGCTGGTGACCCTGAGTTGCAGTCATCCAGAAAACAAGGATGCCGCCTTCTAACTGGTGGAAAGATGCTGGACAGGCTGCAGGTGATCCTCTCAGTCTGGTTGAAGTTTCGTGTGGGCTTAGGGGAGGATTAGTAGGAACAAAGTGGATCCTATGTCAGAATGCCTTGATCACCATTGTGGGATTTAGTGCTGAAGAATGTCATAACCACTAAACACTAAAATGGTTACTTTTTCTCTCTTTTTGCTGAGCACACAGATTGAGCCTGAGGGAGTTCAAGGTGCATATGCTAAGATACTCCAGCACAAATCTTACAGGGTGGAAAGGTGAGGTAAATAATAGATGACATCATGGATCCTGGAGGGCGTCTTCTGCATAAAACGTCCTCTGCCTGGGTCTATCACTATCTGTTCATCCTTTTGAGTTAAGGCAGTGTTTCCCAAATTAATGTGACAATTAGATTTGTCTAGACCAATTGTTTAAAATACAGATTCTCAGGCTCTACTCCAGAACAGAGTCAGAATCTCTAAGGGAGGCCTGGGATTCTGTATTTTTTTAAAAAACTTTTTATTATACTTTAAGTTCTAGGGTACATGTGCACAATGTGCAGGTTTGTTACATATGTATACATGTGCCATGCTGGTGTGCTGCACCCATTAACTCATCATTTACATTAGGTATACCTCCTAATGCAATCCCTCCCCTCTCCCCCAACCCGACGACAGGCCCCAGTGTGTGATGTTCCCCACCCTGTGTCCAAGTGATCTCATTGTTCAATTCCCACCTATGAGTGAGAACATGCAGTGTTTGGTTTTCTGTTCTTGTGATAGTTTGCTGAGAATGATGGTTTCCAGCTGCATCCATGTCCCTACAAAGGATATGAACTCATCCTTTTTTATGGCTACATAGTATTCCATGGTGTATATGTGCCACATTTTCTTAATCCAGTCTGTCATTGATGGACATTTGGGTTGGTTCCAAGTCTTTGCTATTGTGAATAGTGCCACAATAAACATATGTGTGCATGTGTCTTTATAGCAGCATGATTTATAATCCTTCGGGTATATACCCAGTAATGGGATGGCTAGGTCAAATGGTATTTCTAGTTCTAGATCCTTGAGGAATCACCACACTGTCTTTCACAATGGTTGAACTAGTTTACAGTCCTACTAACAGTGTAAAAGTGTTCCTATTTCTCCACATCCTCTCCAGCACCTGTTGTTTCCTGGCTTTTTAATGATCGCCATTCTAACTGGTGTGAGATGGTATCTCATTGTGGTTTTGATTTGCATTTCTCTGATGGCCAGTGATGATGAGCATTTTTTTCATATGTCTGTTGGCTGTGTAAATGTTTTCTTTTGAGAAGTGTCTGTTCATATTCTTCTCCCACTTTTTGATGGGGTTGTTTTTTTCTTGTAAATTTGTTTGAGTTCTTTGTAGGATCTGGATATTAGCCCTTTGTCAAATGAGTAGATTGCAAAAATTTTCTCCCATTCTGTAGGTTGCCTGTTCACTCTGATGGTAGTTTCTTTTGCTGGGCAGAAGCTCTTTAGTTTAATTAGATCCTATTTGTCAATTTTGGCTTTTGTTGCCATTGCTTTTGGTGTTTTAGACATGAAATCCTTGCCCATGCCTATGTCCTAAATGGTATTGCCTAGGTTTTCTTCTAGGGTTTTAATGGTTTTATGTCTAACATTTAAGTCTCTAATCCATCTTGAATTAATTTTTGTATAAGGTGTAAGGAAGGGATCAGTTTCAGCTTTCTACATATGGCTA